GAGAGCCAAGTGGTAATATAAATGAAATTAATATATTCTTTATTGCAGTAATATAAAAAGAATGGCCTGAGCTTTTAACATAGTGCTTGACCTCTCTGGTAACTGAACACCACCTAATCTCAGGAGTATTTCACAACAGCATATGATGAAATAAGCACTGATACAGTATTAGAACAGTTAACACATTAGCACTTTTAATTGCAGAAAATATTACAGCTTTAGGTATGCTTTTTGAGTATAAATCACACTGATGACAGGAAGAAAGATTATTAAAGAGTACAATACACCAAAATTTATCATTACACTAATTATTAAAGCATTGCCTTTTCTTTTTTAAAGTCCCTCTTTCCAAGATACTCTACCATAAAGTCACATCGGGAAACTCCAGATGCTCAGATTTAAAATCCCCAATCAAAAGTGAATTATTTATGATCACTAAAAACATGTTATTTCTTCTCAAAGGCTCTGATCTTACAAACAGCACCTTTAGGTTTAGAAGTGCATACGTAAGTTGTATTCCCTTTAACAGCATCAGTCAAATACAAACCAATAAATACGTACAAAAGTGATAGCAAAGCCAGGTCTTAGAAAAGCTGTACTTCCTCCTAGCTAAATGCACTACACTGTTTTATTATCATGCACCACACACTCGCAATGGGAAAATAAGGGAGACCATACGGGGAGGTGACCAGAGAGTCTCTTGATGCTGCAGTTACTGAAATCTCAAACAGAGGTTAGGAGCAGCCATACACAATGTGGCTATATACTGTATAATGCTAAAACAAAACAAGTTTACATGAAATTCCATGTGAATCTTCCTTGTCATCACTGAGATCAGGAGTGAATTCATCCCTAAGGCCTGATTCACATTTCACAAATTTGCATTGATTGTATTATTGATTTCAGTAAGGCTATTGTTGGGTTTTTTTACACTCCTGAGACAATCACACAACGTGCCTGTGAATCCCCAGTTGCCTCCTGGTCTACAGGCACTTTCTTTGCACAACTCAGTGACAGCAGTAGAGAAACAGTAAAAGAAGGCATTAATTAACAAGCGCTTTCATACAAACTCGGTCAGGAGGCTTTTCTGCTGCTCTCCTGTCAATCTATCATTACATTTTAGAGCTACTTAAAGGAAAGCAAAACATTCAGAAAGAGTATCCTGGGAACATCTGACATGGACTAATAGCTCAACTGTGTAAGTGACTGCTGAGTTTATTTTGATTATTATTATTACCACTTTAGAGCTACAAGCAACTGTGTTATGCTTGCTAGCTTTCTTCAGTCAGCACCTCTGTATTATGCCAGTATGAAGCCCATTCATCAAAGTACTATTTCAAGGGACTGCTTGACCTTCAAAATGAAGAGTTTGCTTCTGCTTTCATTTCAGTTACCTTCACTACGATGTCCCTGTGCTGCCAGAATCTCACCTCGTTCATCACCTGCACAGGAGAACAAAGCTCACCAACTTCTTAAGCAGCATTTAGAATTCAACATCTTTATAGTTGGATGCTTTACCAGAACATTTTTGGTCCTTCTTTAAACACAATATTTTTCAGCATCTAGTAAAAAAAAAAATAAAATAAAATAAAAAAAAAAAAAAGAAACAAAACAAAACATGCTTCTCCTTTCAAAATCTTTAGATCAACTGGAAGTGGAAAGGCACCAATCAGGCACATCCATTACTTCTAAACCATCAGACATTCACCTTCACTCAGAAAACTTTGAGGCAAGGACACACTCCACCTTTAACTTTGATGTTTCACTTTCAGGGTTTCCCCTAAGATGCTGCAAGTTATTGAAACCATGGCTGCAGTTAAACAAGTGTTGCTAATAGGTATGTGCTGTGATTTTCCTCTTTTGTACTGACTTTGAAGTGACAGATTTTCCTACAGCAAAACATTCCCTGCAAAGTCCTCGGGAGCTCCACTCAGTGCTCATGAATGCTGGGTCACAGCAGCATTGAGTCTGACAGTTCAACTCTTCTTCATATGCCATATCCTCCACAGCAGCTATAGGAGAGGGCAGGTTTTACAAGGATAGCGCAGCACACACCACAAGCTGCTGCTACCCACCCTGCATGTTGGTGATGCACAGAAACAAGCCTATGGCAGCATACTACATATACTTCAAATTTTCTTCCTCCCCCCACTCCCAGCTGAAGTTTCTCTATTGAGGACTTACTTTGACAACCAACTTTAAATGCTCTCCAATGTAGGTCACAGCACCAGAATTCAGTGATCAGACAAGACGTCAGATGCAGCAGGTTGATTACAAGTAAGTACTGTACGAATTACATGGAGCAATTTCGCACTGTTGTAAAAGCATAGCAGATAACCAATCACGTTATTACCAACTTCAACACATTCCATGTGCAACAGAACACTGCAGGACAACCTTACCTTACAGACCAAAACCTGACAGCTTTTTGAATCTGTAATTTCTACCTTCTCCATTCAAACGTGCCAGTATAAATAATTCTACAAAACTTATCTAACAAGCCTGCCTTTGCAGCTCCATTCAACAGAAGGCTATCTCTGTGTCCACAGCCCCTCAATTTTAAAGAGATTCTTCAACTCTTTCCATCAGCACATACACACTACCTCTGCAGTTCACCAACTTTCAGCAGTCCTAGCTATAAAGCAGCTTTTAAACAAATGACAAATGAAAACATATGACTACCATTAAATTAAAACACATAAACCATACTGTGTATTACTATTTTCCATCATATTATCAAGCCATTGATGCAAAATGTTTTGAAAACACAGGCTTTGTTCAGAAATACGACTGTAGTTAAAAGTTCTTTGAAGTCTTTAAAACATGAAGCATTTAACAGAATACACTTCTTTCATAACAGTAACAAATTGCTTCCTTAACCAAGTCAGTATGGAGGAAAAAGACGAATGAAAAAAAAAAAATATATAGATTCTGAAACCTGTACACTGATTGCTTTAATTAAATTCCCAACATTGCACCAGCTTTCAAACACAGATCTTTCACATTAACAAGAGCAGATGCTGCACAGTTATTGCACAAGCTCTCAGCACCGCACACGACCAGCGTACTACAAAACACACAGAACAGCTCACAGGTTGATAACACCAACTAGCAATGAGGCAGCTAAACCACAAGGAAAACAACTTGCAATAGGAAGCTCTGAAAAAATAACTCATACCTGCATAAATCATGTACTTAACCATAAAAGTACATACGACTTACAAAATTTAGCAGGAAACTGAGGAGTAATTTGGGATTCAACTACTTACTATTAAATATTTAAGTACCATAAGTCTTCCTGTACTGATAGACGTTAACGGAAACTCGCATATGCTGTGCTTACTTAAAAACTGCATGGTGACTTTGTACTGTACATTCAGAAAATAAATAAGACAGTAAAACTTCTTCATGAACTGAAAGCAACAAGTGTTTACCCAAAGTTACTGGAAGTCTGGAATTCAATGGACATTTTATTTTCTTTTTTTTTTATATAAATGGGACAGGGCATATACTACCACCCTATCTCAAAGCCAATGGAGTTAACAGTGAGAGAAGGGAAAGCATTATTGCATATTCAAAGGCTCTGTGGCTGACAGGAGAGATTTCATGGTTTAATGGAACTGACAGGAAACCTGGAAAGAAATCTTTAAAAAGACCACAATAAGATCGGTCAGCTGAAAGAACAAAGGTGTCTGTGGAATAGTCACTTACACACACAGGCCCTTTACTCTCCTGCCTTGCCCTAAAGCTCGTCAGTGGGTCAGACCTATGAGTTCAAGGTGCCTAAGGTGGCTGCGCAGAGATCTGATCTGTTCTGCACTGGCAACGAGGAACAAGGTTTCCCATGGTTTTGTGAAATACATCCTCGCTGTCCAGAGATTTTCCACATTTATCACTCCTCATGTAAACTGCTAAACACTGCACAGTGAGTAACTGTGGCTTTATTTCACCTCAAGGAAGATAAATTTACTGCTTCCAACCTTAAAAAGGAAGCAAGCAAACCAAGGGGCATCTAATACACTCTTACAAACAGCAAAACCAAACAGCAAGTGCCAGCAGCAAAGCGGAAATCTTTCTCGAGGGCTCAAGCAGTCCGATTCAAGCAGCCCAAGCTCAAGCCTTCCCATATCATTTCTCTTTTTGTCGTGCTCTCCGACTGCTGCAGGGTTATCTACCCCGGATATCCTTTTATTCATTCAGTCCGAAAGATGCGAGAGGGACAGGTTGCGAGGAAAAGCAGGAAAATAAAATTACAAAAAAAAAAAACCTACAACCTCCTCAGCTTCGTAGGCAGATTGAGATATAACCTGTTGTAGGCATGTTCCAGCAGAAGGAAGAGCTAAGTAAAAGGCTGCCTGGGTCTCGGGCGAAAGCGGGGGGGGGCATATGTGCGTGGGTGCCTTTCCCCAGCAGCCGATGCCTCTGCTCCGTTCGGGCCGCCGTGGAGGCGCCCGCCTGCGCCCCCAAGGGACGAGCTGCCGGGCCCAGGGGTGCGCGGCCGGAATGGCCCTCGGAGGGGCGCGCCGCTCCCCGGGGCCGAGGTGGGTCCGAGAAGCAGAGCTTCACCCATCAACCGCGCCGCAGCCGCCGCCGCTGTAACCTCCCTCACGCCCCGTCCCTGCTGGCAGAGGGCAAAGTTATTCCCCGCACACGGCGGCAGCAGCAGCCGCTGCGGAACCGCTCGCCGCCTCTAGCAGCCCGGCTGCAACTCTCAAGAAGTTTCTGCGGGCGAAAAGAACCGCGGCTGAGGCTCGCCCACGTCCCGAACCCCCGACCCCCCTTTATTTTTTCTCATTTTATTTTTTTAAACCCCGCTAGACTTTATATTTATTTCCTCATTTACTTTCACAGACACACGCCCCGCCGGGAAGCACCCAGGTGCCACTAGGGCAAGCCGCGAAGCGCAAACAACGCGGCAATTCACTGCCCCGCTTCCGCAAAGGGTGCTTCCCCCCAGCCCCGCTCCGCATACCCCCGCCCCGCTCCGCCTGGACCCTTACCTGCGATCTCCTGGTAGGGCACGCTGGCCAGGCTGAAGCCCTTAGCGCTGTACGCCTGCCGCACCTCGCCGCAGCTCCGCGCCTTGCTCTCGGCACCCGCGCCCGCGGTCGGCAGCGGCAGCGGCGGCAGCAGCAGCAGCAGCGGCAGCAGCAGCCCCGCTAGGGCGCAGCGCCGCGCAACACCCTGCGCCGCTGGCATGGCGCGGCGCGCAAGTCCCGCGCAGCGCGCAAGTCCCGCGCCACCGCCGCGCCCCCTGGCTGCGGAGAAGGCGGCCAGGGAGTCCCCCGGCAGCCGAGGCAAACTTTTGCGAGGCGGGGGGCAGATGGGCGCGCACCCACACACAGGCGCGCACGGCAGGGGAAGGAGAGCGGCAGCCTCGTCGTGTCGTCCCCCCTCGGTCCTTCTCCAAACGCAAAAATAGGAAAAAGAAGAAAAGGGGGGGTGAAAATCTGGCCGTAGGCTGAAGATTGAACACGCGGGAGTGTTGCTGCGAGCGGAGTCCCTCGATCGGCCGCGGAGCTGCGCCGGCTGCCTCTGCGAGGCTGGAGGTGGTGGGGAAAGCAGCCGGCGTGGGGTTGGACTGGACAGCGGCTCTGTGCGTGCCTCTGTGTGTGTGTGCGTGTGCGTGTGCTGCACTGGGTGCGTGTGCCTGTATTTACGGGATCCTGGGAAACCTCTGCTCCGCGCAGCGCTGGAGCAGCTTCCTGAGCCAGGCAAGAAGAAATCCTGGAGACAGGCACTGCGAGGGAGAGCCGCACACAGACACACACATACACGCACACACACATAGAAACGTGCTACAAATTGCATCGCCGAAATACGGGAGCAGAAAGCAAATCCTGGTGTGGATCGCTGTTTGCTGGATGAAGGAACGAAAAGCACCCACAGCCCCGAAAACTTCCTCCGCGTTAAGAATCCAGCTGCTTCTAGCCCCAAAATTACAGATCGCCTGCTAGCGAGAAGTCAAAAAAGGCACTCTTCTTCGGTATTGCTCTCTGTGATGCCCCAATAATTATTATGTTGCACACCTAAATACCCGAACTGAAAAGCTAGAACGAGGATGAGTCCATTGTCTAAAAGAGAGAGAAGGAAGGATGTTTCTGTGCATCAGATAGAGAAGAATGAGGAGGAAACAAGAAAGGAAGTCCTTGACCCAGCTAACTTGTGTCACCTTAGGAGAGAAGAGCAAGGGATAAACCCATAAATTCTCTAGTTCAAATGAGCATCTGCAAAAAAATGAATGGGGGAACTGGAGAAAATTCCTGCAAGGTGAGTTCACTCTCCACTTAGGGAGAGAGAAAATTACTCTGTTCTTCAGTATTTGATAGTAAAATCCAAAGTTACAGTTTCAAAGTCTTGATTGCAGTGTTTTTTATGAGTCCTGTAGAGAACTGTGGTATTTTGTCAAAAATAGAGAGGTGTCAGGCCCAGGATGAAGTGGAGAAGGCCAGCAGAAGACATAAAAGACCACCATCAACTTGGAGACTTGGAGAAGCCATAGGACAATATAATATGAATGCATGAAGATGCATTCAAATTAGAATGAAATTATTAGGTGTCAGTAGTGCCGTAATGTAACATTAACTTCAGTGTTATTTTGGGGTCTGGCCAGTATACGTAGGCTGGTCCCATTAGATACTGTGTGTTCCCTTTGCCTCCTGTACTGTTTTCCCTCTCCCACATTGTCATTCCTTCTTCTTCCCACCCCTTTTCCTGATCAGTCAAGTGATGATGCTCTGACACTACTTGTGTGCACAAAAGAGAAACAGCAGAGTGTGTGCAGCCCTTGTCCTCCCTCTTCCTTAGAAAAGCTCCTTGATGTGCAGGGCTGGGGGGGAGGTCAGGAAGGGGTGGTGAGTAGTGGGTTTTATTAGAATCTTGCAATTCAGTCAGAAAGGTGGGGTTAAGCACCTGTCCCTCCAACCTCTTCCTAAGGTAAGATGTCTTATGGGACAGATGCCAGAGCCCAGTGAGGTCAGGTTGGAATGCAAAGTTTTGGGAGGGAGTTTAGCGGAAGAGAGCTTTCCTTCCTTTCTCCCAGTCCACAAGCTTCATGGGCATAATTATGTACCACAATCCTCGGTAGCACTAGCTTTGGGGAACTGGGGGACTGATGAGTAGGTATTGTAGTAGTATCAAGTGCTATCACTCAGCCTCATCTCCCAGAGGACAGGTTGGAAGGCTGGACACAGTCCTGATCAATGTGCTCTAGGCTACCCTCCTTGAGTAGAGAGGTGGTACTGAATGACCTCCAGTGGTCCCTTCCAACCTCAATCATTCTGTGAAGTCACTGCTTTAGCAACCCACAGAGAACATGTCTTACCAGACCACTACAAATAATATGATAATACGTGTTAGTAACCCCATACTGATGAAAAGTCAGGCAAGGTCTCTCTATTTAGTGTGTGGAAAAGTTTTGACAGGTCTGTCGGTAATATCTCAGTGTATGTAAGATACACACATTTCACCCCAAGACAGGATGTTACAAATGTTACATATATCTCATTTCTTCTGGATTGTTTCAACTTTCCTCTGCATTGTGGTCAAAACAGAGCATTATCATGCATGACAGACTGCCCCACAATCCAACTATCTTCAACATTTCTTCAACCCATGGAAAAGTAATTTGACACAAACTCAAAGATGCAAATGAGAAAATCAGCAAACTAGTTTGAAGTGCAGAAATCATCGTAAAATAGCAGAAGAGATTCTGTAATTAACTCAGGAATGCACCTAAGGAATTTTATTTTTTTTTAAGAAAATTGTGAACTTTCTTAGAAAAATGGGGCTTATTCACTCCTGCATTTTTTGCAAATACCAGTATGACAGCACTTTTACAGAAGGCAATGACAATGTGGTATAACCTTTGCGTAAGGTGGGAGACCTACAACGGGAACATCAGGCTCATTTCCATCCTTGAATCCTGCCTCAGGTGAAAATGGCCCAGACAGCCGTTTGTAGTTCTGTGTGTCAAAGGACACCTTACTCTCCCAAGGGTTCATATTTAAACACAGGTATTTAAACCGCTTCAACAAACCTCCTGCTCATCACATGGGAGAATCATTGTGTGTTCTCAGTACATGTGTAATTAATTTTGTACAAAGTGGAAGAGCTCCAAAGAAAGCCCAGGTCGGAACACGCTCAAAGCCAGTGACTTTCGCAATCCCTTAGAAACATAACACCTTCTGCCAGGCATATCATAGGTACGAGCTAAAAGCTCACTTGTTTCAGAACCCACACTCTTAAGCTATTTGAAGTGGTCACACCGTACTCATCATTTCAGGTGTACTTTATAAAAAACCATGTAACTGTGTTTCACAACACATGAAAATACCTCTTTAATTTGTTCTCTCAGAAGGAGGCACAAGCAACCCCTGGTTGCTGAATTAGAAACAACTTAATGTGTATAATAAGATGGTGAATAAAAGTCCTCCTTCCTCCTCCTTGACATGGAGATTAGTGTCTTCCAGGTTAAAGTGTTCTCTGGTAGAGATGGACTTGTTTCTGAGCTGCTGTGTATTAGTGAGTGCTCAGACCTCTAAGCTGTTGGGTAAAAGGCTGGCTTTTTCTACATTAATTTGAGGAAAAAAAAAAAACCACATTCAATTCATTTGCATAAGCACCAAAATGAAACATTTTATTTTAGTTAAATGGAGTATTTTAATCACCAGGGAATTTTTCGCTTCTTTTGCATTTCTGTGGAAAGAAATAATAACACTTTAAAAAAAAAAAAACAAAACAAAAAACTATTTCTGCCTGCTTGGCAGTCGAACTGAAAATCAATCATTTACCCTCTTTGAGAGCCCACCAACCAAATTCAGTGTAGTAACATAGACGATTGCTTAGAGTGAAGATTTTGCAATCCATCTACTGGCCAAGTTTACCACAAGTGGGCTTTTTTTTTCTGTTATTCAAAATTGAAGGTGTTTTTTCTGTATTTTTCTGTTATTCCAAATTGAAGGTGTTCATTCGTACCCAGTTTTACTGACTGTTCTGCAAATTATTCCTAAAGTTGTGCAAAAAATGTGGAAGACAAATGGTATTTAACCTTTGTTTCCAAATACTTCTATTAAAATTTGGGTTAAAAGTAATCATTCACAACCCAACATAATAAAGACGTCAATGCAAAATGGAGCAGCAGCCAGCATTAATTCCTCCAACCACTGAAACACTCTGCCCCACATGGCTGAGGCAGTTTTATGCAGTAAAGGAGCTATGGAATCTCTAAACAATAAGGACAAAAATAAATATTGAATTGCTGCATCATTTGCCAAGCAGCCATCATCTTGAGCTCTGAGCAGTTTGAGGACATGGTGGAAAACATATGATTATGGATTTTAAACATTATAACGTGTAGCACATAAGCGTGAGACTGAGATTGTACAAGGAAGTTTTGCTCAATTTTTTTTAGGTTTTTGAATTATTTCCCATTAGAAACAGGATAAATGGTGTTACAATGAAAGACACAGTGATGTAGTGTCGGTGTTATCAAAAAACTCTCATTGATGTCATGGGTGTTAAGAAGACTGCATACACAAAAGCATCTTTCACCTGACTTGACAATAAAGCCTTAGAAAATGTCAAAATGTTCTATAACTCAACTTCATGAAAAAAAAAGACGCTGACTTCTGGATTCACCGCTAAATCAATGTGTTCCGTAGATTTGCAGCTTTCATATAATGGATTTCTAGCAAGAAGGTTTCACAGGTTGAGACAATAATCAGTGAGATTCTCAGATGTCCAATAGAATTATTGTTGGTGAAGTGGCTCTAATGTGTTGGTTATTTCTGCAGGTGGAGCACTGCTTCTGTGCAATTCACCCCTGTCTCCTCCCCCAGGCCTTCTAGCACTGTAGAAGCTGTAGCTCTGGGAGAGGGAGAGCTGGTTGGATCCTGCCTTCATCTGAGGGGCAGATCCATCCTCACACAGTTTTCCAATGCATTTTTTGAGTATAGAACATATCCTCGATATTAAGGAACAAGTAACCCACATTCCAGGATGTGCACCCCAAAATGGAAATCCGAAACATGCTCTTTTTTTGTAAAACTGTGTGGACAAGTATAAAAAAAAATTGCATGAAGAAAACGTTTTTATTCAAGGTCTGTATTGTCTGCTCCAGCTGGACATGGCTCTTTAGAAGTCCAGAAATGTTTAATTGTATAGCGATGAGGTAGCACCCTGAAACTGAGCTATGATTTTGTCGCAGTAGAGCTTTCCAAAGACTGGGCCAATGAAGGCATACACTGAAGCATCAAAGGTCCCTTCAAACTATTTTTTTTTCTGTTATGTCCAGAGCCTTCATAGAAAAACTTCCTTCACAGAGCAGAAACTGGTCTTCCTTATCACTTTATGCTAGAAGGGGAAATTTAATTTTTGATTTGCTCTGTATGGTATTTGCTGCAAAATTAATGCAAAGTCCAGTTCTTTCCAAAAAGTGAGCTCTAGAGGCACAGGTGTGAAGAACTCATCTTGCTCTTGAAGTTGCACTCAAAAGTAGAATTGTCAACACAGCTGCTAGATAGGTCCTCTTAGAAAAGATTTTCAGATTCATGGCCAAGAAGGCAGACCTGCTAAATACACAAAATAATGAAATACAACTAGCTTTCATTCTTGTGAAAATTTTCAGAGGCAGAAGGTAAAAAATTATTTAAGATTCCATATGCTCAGTTATGCATAATATCGGAGGCTTAGGCTCCCATAAAAAAAGTTTATAAGTGGTAATCAGTGATATATTAATTATAAGCAGTAGTGGTTGCTCTTGAAATCTGTAGTCTATGCTATTTTGGGCAAATAGCAGCACTTTATTTTAGCTGTTCATTTTATGAAACCTTTTGTGAACAAATGCTAGGAGTTTATGCATAGCAACTGAATGGGTAGATTGAAATGCCTGGGCTCTGCAGCAACAGTATGCAAAGGCTGGGCAGAACCATTGCTTCATTTAAGTGAGGATTACAGCAAACAATCCAGGGCTGTTGTTCATAATAATAATTTTTAAAAAT